CCCAATCCCCAAAACCCCTCCCCATCCCCAGTCCTCAAAATCCTCCCACCCCCAATCTCCAGAATCCCCCACCCCAACCCTCGAAACCCTCCCCCGTCCCCATCCCTTCCCCATCCCTTCCCCACTCTCACATTCCTCCCAAATCTCCCTTCAAACAAGCCTCCCGCATCACCCCCTTGCCCAGACACAAACACCATCAATAACAAAACAAAATTACAATTTGTGGCGAGGGATGTGCCCCATCAACTCTCGCCAGATTTGACAACGGCTACTGTTCTAGTTATTTATCCCCTGTTAGAATAAGACACTAAGTGGATCTAGAGCAAACGGTGATCAGAGATGCAAAGAACAGTCTTTCTCACTAGGCACCTATAAGAAGACACAGGCATAGGTTTACGTGTGAGTTTATTTTAGGCTTTTGTAGCTTCATGCATTAGGGTCAGAAATCGGTATTTATATTCTTCAGATTTTAGCAATCTCTTTACTAGCTTGTCGCATGTGAAAATTGCCAACAGTATAAATTATTTGATAGACTTGTTTTTCTAATGCTTGCAAGGAATACGTAGTCGTCGGATACAAATTAAAATGGCTTATTAATAAATCCTAACTGACTTCGCCTGTTACAGTAAAAATGAATTGAAAGCGGCCCGTATTATTCTTTCAAAAGCCTATGTGAGGTTTGGAGGTTTTCTGTTTAGACAGATACAGGGTGTCCTTTAGACAGATACAGGGTGTCCCAATGGACGAGAACGCTAGTCTCGACATCGAGGATCTTGCATTGTCCGTGATGGAAAAAGGAAACACCCTAATGCGAGGCTATGCTTCTTCCTTTACATAGACGATATACTAGCAATCAATTGTCTGGATTTCATTGACGCGTTATTAAATTATCCTTGTTTCTGCAGCTTGTAATTTAAGTCGTTTAGATGGCCTGTGATATCAACCAAAAGTGCTAAATCACAAATCCATTAGGGAACATTTACTTTAGCTAATGGCTTATTTTTCGTAGCCCTAAAATCTGCTATTTCTTGGCGAAGATCATAAAATTCTTTAAGCATTTTGCCTTTACTCAGCCATCTCACTTCGCAGTAACAAAACAAGTGTTCACGATCCGAGCACACGTCATCCAAATATTTGTTTGAACTGGCGATGATTAAGCACGTGTGATTTTATAAAATTGGTACTCGTTATAATCACATCCATAACATTTCTCATTTTAACGGATTTAGCACACAAATTCTGTTGGCGGATAATGCAATGAAGATTTACTAAATTATCTTTTTGTATATTTAATTCAGTTGATTGTTCGTTTAACACGCTAGCGAAACCTTTTTATAAACCAAACATCGCAGGTTTTCCATCAGAACAAACTCCAAAGAGGCGAGTTCATTGCAAATAAAGTTTTCGAAGACTGTTTGAACTTCTTCAAAAATATCTTCACTAGTAGTGGTTCCTTTTAACGGCTGTAATGCTAGTAATTCTTCCGTTATG